CCAGGATCCAGCCATGACCTCATGACCTGACAGTACGAGATCTGGAAAAGGCTTAGAGCCGATTCCTTCAAGGATCCAGCCATGACCTGACAGTACGAGATCTGGAAAAGGCTTAGAGCCGATTCCTTCAAGGATGTAGCCATGACCGGACAGTACCAAGATCTGAAAAGTTTTAGATCAGCTTCCTTCTGGGATGTAGCCATGACTGGACAGTACAAGATCTGAAAGGTTTTAGATCCGCTTCTCTCCAGAATGTATCCTTGGGTTAGGGGTTTCAAGGCAGAACCTTCCAGGTTCTTGAAGAACGCTTGCATGTTTAACAGCCAGCCTTCAGGGAACTGGTTGGTCTTAATTTCCTTTTCCTTTGTGAGACAACAGGCTGATATCTGAACTCTTCTGTAATGTCCTGACAGGATTCGTCTGTCAGAAGGTTTTCACTTTGCTGCCAGTGGGGAGGGCATTGTTAACATGGTGGTTGAGCTGCCTATGAAGGTAAGCTGGGATTGAACCTGCTCTAATGGTTCTGTGCTCTCATTGGACTGTCTGACTGCTGCTTCTTTCTTCTGAACTTCGACCTTAGATCTCAGGAGACGACCCAGACCAGGAAGGACACTCCTGCATCGTTCAGTACATTTTGTTTCCTCCTCACTCCCCCTCCAGTAAGGACAGGTATGAAGCCATGGATCTTCTAAGCAGTATGTTGGGTTTTGGTTGAGTCGGAATGAGCCTCTGAACCAGGTTCTGTTTCCGTCCCTTTTCCTCTTTCTCTTTTCTAGCTTCTCTACCGACGACGACAACGACACGGAGGTGGAAGCTGTGGACATAGACATGGAGCTGAACCTGGTAACGGAATGCTGGGTGGAACCTCAGAGTGGCTCAGTGCTGAACTGCACGGACCAGCACCGACACTTCCAGGGCCTTGAATACCAGGACATTCCACTAGCGGTACCTATCAGACATCCAGACACTGCTGGCCCCTGGCACTCCCTTTGTCTGTTGTCTTATACTCGTGCTGTGATTGTTGTCTTTGCAGATTTTCCCCAGGGACCTGGCCTGCATGTCCACCATGATGACCTTTGAGTATTTGAACCATCTTTGCCTTAACAAGGAGCAGGTCTGCTCACTACCTTCTGCACAAAGGGTGGAGCAAGGTAACCAGCTGTTTCGGTGTTGGTGGGCTCTGCTTTGAGGTTTCTGGTTCTCATGAACTGACTCAGTGGTTCTCAAACCTTTTCTGTCATTCCCCACTTTGGACAAGGGGGAATTTTCAAGCCCCGCCTGTCCCCATCGCCCCAACACTATGCTAATGAAATATGAAACAATCTTAAAATGTTCCAATTTTATTGAAGTAACAAGTAGTATCTAAATACAAACTATCTACATCAAATAACAGCAAGCTCAAAAATAAAGAAAATAAAAACAAAAATAAAGAAAATAAAAAC